AGCCGAATACCTAACTTACAAACTTGTCACCGGGTACAACGCCGGTGACAATGACACTCAATCCGTACTCGACAAGTACGATTTCTACATTATCCCGGTAGTTAACCCGGACGGTAAGCGACGCGCGCCGATTACGTGTTCATCTTAACGCGGATACTGACCCGTCCTATTTAGGCTTCGTCTACACGCAGACCACGCAGCGCTTGTGGCGCAAAAACCGCCAGCCCGGGCCTAATGGCTCAACCTGTTACGGGCGAGACATCAACCGCAACTGGGAGTTCGCGTGGGACGCCAATCCGCAAGGCGCATCGACGAATCCGTGCTCGCAGACGTACAAGGGCGAGCGGCCGTCGGACAGCCCCGAGAACGAGGGGCTCGACAAGCTAGTGCGACAGCTCCGCGACGGGGCCGGCATCAAGCTGTATATCGATTGGCACAGCTACGGGCAGTACATCCTGTCGCCGTTCGGGTACAAGGAGACGCTGTATGCACCGGAGCTCGGCAAGTGGACCAAGGCCGCCGAGATGGTGAGCGACGCCATCCGCGACAGCTCGAGCCATCTCACCACGTTCACCTTCGGACCCAGTGGCGCAACGCTGTACCCCACCACCGGCGCCGCGCCTGACCATGTCTACAGCATCGGGCGTGCTGAGTTCTCCTTTACCATCGAGTTGAGGGACATTGGACAATACGGGTTCGTCTTGCCACCTGAGCAAATTCGGCCCACGGTCGAGGAGCAGTGGGCTGGGCAAAAGGTGCTTTGGAGCTTGTTGGACGAGGAGTTCTTCGATGGCGAAGGACCTGCTTAGGCCTGTTGAGTTCCCCTGAAGTAAACTAGCAAAATACTGAGGGCCGGTGGCGATATAGTGTGTTATAAACGAATAGGGCTTAAAATATCGCTAATTGACTCTCTGATACGGTAGCTTGGGCTTTCTTCGCATCGCATACTTTGACTCTTCACTTGAGGGGACACGTATGAGGCTATTAGGAATGACATGTGAATTTATGGCACCCGGTCGACGTCACGGCTTTGAGTCTTGTGCGCTGTTTCTACGTTGTCTTCCCCCCTCCCCTTTACATGCCTCGATACAAACCCCACATCTCAGAATAAGACATAAACAGTTCTCTCGGTGCCAAGGGATTCAAGAGTAATTATGAATTCGAGCTGGCTTGAATTGCCTGTCTACCACTTCTTCACCAGGCTATTACGAGGGAGCGGCTTGGGCCGTTGGACCGATGAATACGGCTGCTTATCCCTTTATCCGATGTTATAGATGCTGTAGAAACCAATACAAAACTTGCAATAGGAACCCCGATAGACTAGCCAAAGGGTTTCCTATTTCTCGAGAGGGTATAATCATTGAGACGATATTGGACTTGGTCGACTGAACGTTAGGTCCGAATTACAGGCATTGTCTAGTTTCAGATGAGGCTAGACGACAGCTTATCTTTGCTAAGGTCCGAATGGCAACTAGGTAAACCCCGGTTGTGAATTATTCACCGAGGTAGCAGCAGAGCTAATCGTATTTTTTACATGGGTATCCTACAACCAGGAGTATCTTACAACGCCGGCATAACCCACCACACGTGGCCCCCTCGTGAGAGTTAAGGTTTCAAAACACATACCAACCCTAATTTGCTGCATCACGGCGGATGGGCCCGTGCTTCTATTTATAGGGCCATTGTAGAAGTATCTTTTCGTTCGCATCTTTTGGAGGCAGGCAAGGCGTCTCAAAAATGCAATCACGATGCCATAAATACTAGGCATATGTAGGTGGTTGCTCTTCAAAATGCTCAATGCTTCAGCCCTCGGTTCAACGATGTTTCGGAGGGAGTAGTAACACACCTACTATATCCAACAACTAGGTATAGCCACCTACGAGTTCATATCAAGGTTTTGTTATCCATACGTAGACATCAAATATCCAAGGCACCTTTCCAGTATCACCAAGTTTTTAAAGAGACGGGCATTTCCAGGGAACGGCAACATATACCATGGTTGTGCATGCGTTATGGCAACCAAAATGCCTGGGAATAGCAACGGTCTGCCTTGCTTCGTGGCCGGGCTCCGGTGTCTCTCCCTATTCGTTTCTCGAGGAATACCTTGAAGCGACCAAGTCATTATTGCCGTGGTAGCGACTATTAATAATCTCCACATAGCACCCGGATTCAACTTTAAAAACCAGCCAGATTTACCTTGCCGTCACAGAAAAAACGCTCGTAGCTATCGATTTTCAACTCACCTATTCAACACTACTATTACGATTGGGCCCTCGGAACCGAGGAACAAACATTGTCAGAGATGAATGATACCACTGAGATCCTTGCCGGTGTGGGATGGCCATTTTCTCAACAGCCTCTTAACTTAGGGATTCTTGAACATCACCCTATCCTCTTGACTGTGGCAGACCATACAGACCTCGACGCTATGGCCGACTTTACAGTCAATCGTTATCTCACAATAGAACAAGCCAGCGGCTTTGTCCCTGTGGGGTACTTTTGCGATCAATTGCCGCTTATAAGAGAAAGATACAGGTCTTCAATGCAGGCAATCATGGATTCCTGCGTCCCTAATGAAATGACAGGGATTATACTGAAGATCGAGCATAGAGGTGTAATCAAGGGAATTAGTAAGTGGTTCTCTGTATCGTCTCTTTTGGTTCCAGTCTTTTTTCCAACAGCAACAAGGTTCTCACCCAGACTGGACCTATAATGCTTCAAGAGCCTCTCAACTTGCTAAAATGTTTGCGGATCAGGCTTAAGGTGGTGACCACTAACCCGAACGTTGTAGTGGCACTCAACATTGCCCAGGCAGATTGCCGGGACCCTTGGACTCGTCATGAGTTACTGCAACGTGATAGCTTCCGATATGCTGGAGTTTTCCCGATTGCCGAGTATCTAGAGATGCTTTCCCTAATTATAAATCATGGCTATAATGGGCTACGACCTGTCATCAGTGAGTCTCTTCAATTGCTGCAACTCCAAAACCAATTATCTACCAGCACCATCCCATTCTAGTCGTAGAAGGGCTAAAGTAGTATCACTAGACGTCCCCCATCTAATTACTTCATTGGATGACCGTTATACGAGCATTTGTTTGACTACCTTCATCCGCCTACTCGCAAGAATTGCGTGGAGATGTCAATATTCTGCGTTAATAAACAGCCACGAAGGAAGTTACCGTTTGCTTTTCGAAACATACGTGACCTACGATACTGGATTTGTCGAATCAGGGCGGATTCGGCATAGAGCTTTTCCCGTCCAGCAATATTATTCTCCCAATTACAGGTTCTACGCAGTGTACATTCCACCATCCAATGAGAGTCAGCAGCTATACCTCGACCAAGCTGTCTGGGAGGTGTTCAACCACTCTTGCCCCCCACCACAACCACCACAAAGACAGCGTGATGATCTGTCTCCAGTACCATCCTTAGAACCTGGTTCAGAGAGCTTAAGCTCCGAATCCGGCTCTCCCAGCCCCCTACCTTTCGAGAATTGTGTTTAAGTGCCTCAGTTCCCACTGCTAGTATATACAGTATTGACTATTGTTATTGCAAAAGAGAGCCCCTATCTACACGGCAGAGATTGCACTGCTAGTATATATATACGGCCCGACGCCCGGCCTCCGGACGTTATTCCGTAGCGTTCCGTGACAGTGGGTTGTTGAATTTTAACATGGATGGCGCCGACATGACTGTTCCAGGGGCAATCGTATTAGATTGCACGGCGCTATACGTGGTGGCGCACATGTCTGGTAGCCTCGAATTACGATGTATAACACTTTACTGTATAAGTGTCGGAAAGCCGAGAACGGTTGCACTCTTGGGGATGGGAATGGGAGTATTGTTATCATCTAATCATGATTTCATGATTGCGATGGTTGGTAATATCAGGCTAGTTATACCCACAATTAAGATCTTGGCCTTGTCTTCTATATAAATTTCCTACGAATTATATAACGACAATCGGCCGAGTATAAACGAAAATCAATCATGCATCTCGGTCCAATTTACTATGTAACAATGAGTCGCATAGCTTTAGGAGTGTGATGGACATGATGGTCTAATAGACACATTTCCACCTTAAATTGCATGTGACACCAATTCGGAACAAGAGATATGTATTTATGTGTGTATGGTTAAGATTTATTTGAAACTAAAACTAAAATTTTGGAAGGTGCAAAGGAGGAGAGGGGTTAGATACTTACCTACTCACGCAGGCTTTTCATGCGTATTCTTTGGAATTGGCTTAAGAGTTGAATCAAGCCGAATGATTTCCAACTTCTTTATTCTTCCACATGATGCGAACACGCCATCCTTGGCCTTTCCACAGACAACGGGTCTCATCCTGCCGACGTCTTCCCAGGTTTTGGTCTCCGAATCAAACATCTGGCCCTGCTGGTAGTGACACATTTTGTCAGTAATAGAGTGATTGATACCTTTTTACGAGAGTAGTAGCTGTTATCAATAGTGAACTAGAAGCTAGAGGACTGAGCTGTCTCAACTTCTGTAACCACCGGATCCGGAGTTTCTTAACTGCTTAATATATACAGATCCAGGGTTGGCATGTTTAGTGAATGATGAGGATGTTATGAACTGCAACTGAATTATGCGCTGCTGTTGTTTTTACACAAAGACATTGTGACCTAAGAACTTCCTCTCTAAAGACAACAAAGACTTAGTTTAAGGGGCTACCTCAGAATCAACAGTCTCTTTTGTCTTAGAAGCTGGCTACTTACCCGAGTGATACGTCGACCACATTCCCTGTTCTCACAAATGATAGGCGAGTACTGGGACCAAGTAAGTAGCAGGGCTATAGTCGGAGCTAACACATATTGACAGCACTAGAGCAAATTCCATTAGGAAAGGCGCCCGTTAATGGCGGCTTGGACTCCGGAGTTGATCTAGAAGGCCACCACTACTAGGTTGGATCCTTAAGATAGCTCTAGCGTACAAAAGGGACCAAAAAAACCCAGAGAAAGAAAAGGAAACTAAAATATACTCCGAATCGGGGAATCGAACCCCGGGCTTGACGGCACTGGTACTGGCAACTCCTGAACCTCTGATGAGGCACGAGAAGGCAGATGAGAGCGTCAAATGTTAGCCACTACACCAATTCGGAATGGATGAACGTGTTGTTATTGAAACATACGTACAACACCGAGGATTCGCTGGTCGTCACCGACCCAACTACTAATTCGGCGCTCACCGGTTTATCAATGGGAGAGCGGACGGGATCCCGAGTTCTCCGGTGGCTGTGGTCGTACGTGGAAGGAGACTCCCTTGCAAGAACCTATAGCCGAGTCTTTCGTTGGGGTGAGCAGCTACACAACGGAAAACACTGGTCTGGATGCGCATATGAATGAATCTTCAATACTCCCTTCGAGAAGTCATACAAATCAGTAGATAAGGAAAAACACTATCCTCGGAGAAGCTGTGCATGCGAATTGCTTTAAGCTAGTCTACCTAGTTTCGCGAATCTGTTCGGTGTCGGACGCTGGGTATCAGATCAACCGGGCCCTCGGCGGTGGTCTTACTGAGGTGAGATTTCCACTACACCCTAAATTCCATCTCGCACATATATGCAATCCTTAGTCTTTTCATCTTTTTTTCATCCACGCATGCTGTGATCAGATTCGTCGACATGCACACGGCGCCAACTTGCCGGAATGGGTGAATGCAGAATGTGGGCGTTCACTCATTCCCTATTGTTCATCCTGTTTTTTGCCCCATGTCTCGGTTTTTTTCACCATCTATATACAAGGTATATTTTTCGATGTCCAACATTCTCAGTGAAAATAGTCCAAAGCTCGCTCGCTATGCAAAATGTAAACCCAATAGGCTTCGAGAGCTTCTTCCTTGCTTTCACATAATAATGAGCTACGTAAATATTAGCATTTGCTTTCTCAGGGAGCGAAATAGGCTCCCACGAGGAAATGGTTAAAAACTCACTTCAATCAGTTTCTCCGTGAGCCCTATAAGTTGCTTGTCGAAATCTCGAGACTGCAACAAGGAATTCGAACGCCACAGCCCTTCAAACCCTATATCCTCGAGAATATCATCGAGGGGATCATAGTCCTCCTTGGCGGCTGAAAACTTGGGGTTGGAAGTAACCATCCGAAGCAATTCATGTACCGCTTTCATCGCCTCTGGTCTCTGGGCATGAAGGAGTACTTCGTCAAGAAGAGACGTAATAGTCGAACACCTAGAATCGAACTGTCAGTTAAGGAATATTCCTCGATGCTATGTTCATAAGCACGGTCAATACTCACAAGGGAAGGATAACCGTTGGTCGTTCCATCGCTAAGTCACACAGCCACATCAAGATATGTGTTTGGATATCGTCTTCCAAATTCTGGAAATCCACGAGTTGGATAGCGGTATGAAGGAGAAGATCTTTATCTCTAATGTGCTCCGCATGACGTATATTGCGATCGAGTGTGAGATTAGCAACGCTAGCTGAGTTAATACCAGCAGACCAAAGGCACTCTTTGACTTTTTCTGAATCTACCACCCGCGACTGTATCAAAGTCATATATGGAGACTGGTAGAAGACGCTAGACGAAATCTTGGGCGTTTTAGCAGAGAGGGAACTCGTTGTCAACTCCAGGAACGTTGATACCACTCGTAGCGTAGATGGCTTCGTGGTGCGGTCTGTGAGGCCGCGCACCAAACAGGCACAGACAGCGAAATGGAAATTGTCTGGCGTAAAGTGGACACCATAAACGTCATCTAGCGGGAGAGTGGCCTCCTCCAATGTGCCACGGCCCTGTAGGAGAAATGATGCTGTTTTCTCGCTTCTCAGCTCACCCGAAACACCAATATTTGTCAACACGGCCTCCAATAACTGCGTTGCACAATTAAAGAGACGAGCTGTTGGCATGAGACGGATTAGTGACATTGCAAGCCAGAACAGCTGCAGCCCGTAACGAGATGCCGAAGTCAGCTTGACAATCATCTTGGATAGAGAGGTTACGACGGCAATAAGCATGTCGGTAGAACCATCTTCTCCAAAGCGAGTGATGCTGTGGCGAAGAGCCACGAGGACTTGGTAGAGTAAATCATCATCGATTTCCTCCCGTGCTAAACAGCCCATCACGGTGAAAGCTCGTGGCTGGATCGAAGGGTTGTTCTGAAATGCAGTGCTAGCGACTAGGCTCATCCACCTGGATCGCCACGCATTTGCCAAGTCAACAGAAGGCGCAGCGACGGTGCATGTATCGAAGAGTAATATGGCAAGCTGTTCTGTGGCTGCAAGGGCTTGATAGCCGTCGTGAATTGTGGCAGCAGAAGTTGTGTCCTGGAGCAAGTATTGATTTTTAGGATCGGAAATTACATCGAGGATACCACGCAACTTGGACAATCTATGGTCATCTAGTTTGAAAGAGGTGCATGCGGCGTGGAGAGAGTTGATCAACAACCGCTGAACTGATGAGCGGACGTCGGCCGGGCCAGTATTTGCAAGCATCGTGACGATGTGAAATATTTCCGGTAAATAGAGTTGGGACTGGACCCCGCAGTCGAATGACAACGCAAGACAAAATTGCAGTAGAATGCAGATTTCGTCCCAGACCGCATTTTCCGGGAGGTGTCGCGTGGGCCGGAGCACTGATCGATTCAGAGCTTTGCGCAGGCGAGAGATTATCTTACCACGAAGTGTTATCGTACCGATCGCTATTACAACCGAGGTTAAAGCCTGCGTATGATCATCATCCGGGCCAACCGCAACTGCAGCCTTGACGATTTCCTCTAGAAAGATGTCTAAGAGAATCTCATCCTTATAAATAGCAGGCCACACCATATGCTCAAGCGTCACGAAAAGAGAGGAGTCCATCACCGTAGTATCTATGAGTTTTTGGAAGATAGTCGCTATCTTCTCTTTGCCTCTTTCACTGTCATTATCGTCGCCAAGAAGCGACGTCCGCAGGCTCGCCAGCCAGGGTGCCATGTATGCAAGGCTCAAAGGCTTTTGTTCCTCAGAAAAGTTTTCCCAGCCGACGAAGAATTCGTTCAGGAAATCGGCCGTTAGTTGCGGCTCTTCCTGGGCGAGGGTCTTGCTCATATTGACAATGAACTGGTTGGGGTCCATGGGTATATGCACATCTGAGACGCGTGTCAGTCGTTTCGGATCAATGAGCTAAAACTCGTCGTAGTCATTGCTCACCATTGATGCACATAAATTTTGATGCTGCTTTGAATTTAAAGGCTTGACAAAGAGCCCCTAAAAGGTTATATGACGCGATCCTGAGAGCCTGATCAGGCGCCGCAAGGTTCAACAGGGCTAGATTCAACAGTGTGCCAGGGATGTCTTGTGGATGGATGAGCCTCTCGAATGACTTCACAGTTCTGGTATCCTTTCCGTATTTTGCCTTAGCACCCCGAATAGTTTGGAGAATATCGTTTTTCATGGGGCTTTGAAAGTACATGACGATTTTGCCGTTGTCAGCCCGGAGTCCAAAAGCGGAATCGTCTTCAGTTGGAATAGATGTTGGTGCTTCGTCAACGTCGCTAAGACGGAAGATGTCATTGATGATGGCATTGAGGCGATAGCCAGGGTGGACTTCCTGCTTTCTCACTGTTGCAACTTGGACATACTGACTGCCAACTTTGATAGTAACCTCAATCTTCCCCTTGGTTTTTGAGAGTCTGGTGACAGGCTGGAAAGTATATCGTGTGTCGTTCGGCGCGCTGATGATTTCCTTGGGAAAACGCGTGTGATCAATATGGAAATGGGCCCGGAGTTCCTGTAGGGTCCCAAGTAGGTGTATCTCGATATTTAATTTCTCGAACAGACTCCCGTCACGTTTACCAACCACACGCATATTCCGCCGAAATATTTTCCTATTCTTATCAGTATACAACTTGACGATAGGTGTGAGACCATACCTATAAGTGCTGTTCATATTGTATATATAGCATCTGGATAGATTGTTCGTTACTTCAGAAGGAGTGAGAAGCTGATTCCTTCTCACAAGTTCATCATGAAAATCGGCGGATTCGTTGGCGCATGTTGCATCAACGAAAACGCCAAATGGTTTGTGCCAGAGACGGCTCGCAAGCTTTAAAAAGGGCATGGTATTAATAACATGTTCAAGGAAGGTTGAATTGTAATATTGAGTATGGCCTGAAGGAAGGTAACCGTGACAAACCTTTAGGTAAGCAAAGAACAAAGAATCTTGGTCGGTAGACTCCCAGTCAATGTGACGAAGGATTATGAATATTATTGAAAGACCATCCTGTTGTTGATGTTAGCAGCCTCAACGTTGCCTAGGGTTTCGGTGCCAACCTTCGTCTCCCCGCCATCATATATAGCGCGAGATCCCATAAAAGAGCCGGTGTCGCGGAATGCGTTACGGAGCATGAAGTGTTGGAACCTGGAGTACGTGGGCAAGTAATTTGCTGAAATCTGTGGACGGTTCCAGGTGATTGCTAAAGAAGGCGGACCCAAAGTGGTCGTAAGGGCTGGAAGTAGCTCGAGAGCTGGCGCACGGCCGCGAGACAGCTCACCAGGGGTACGTATTTGTTCTCTTCGTTCTTGAGACATGAGGCGCTGCCTTACGTTATCTCGGTGCTCATACAGGAAACGGTGGAGGATAACGCAGGACCCGAAATCAAATGATTCGAGTTCGGACGGCGAAGCATCGAGATTCTCGGGAAGTACCTGTTAGAGGTTTAGCAACAAGCAAAGTAGAAAGCACATATTTCTTACTGATATTTCCCGTAAAAACGTCGTCACGTTGTATATATTCTGGGTCAAGAAGTCGTTTAGTGGGTACATGTATGGCTCTTTGGCCCCGAAGAGAACGTTGTTTGCTAAATTCTGAATGACCTTGGCGATTAAGAGCAAACCTCGCCGCATTTCTTTAGAAGGGGGCTCGTCTACGAGCTTTTCTGATTCTGGTGCGACGATAGCCGGGCAGAAGAACCGAAGAAAGATGAAAGCCCCAACAGCGGTGTACTTTGCTTCCTGGAACCTGGGCATAACAGCAGTAGAGATCTGGCGACAATATCAACAACTGCGATTGTCGAATCATGGAGGATGACTTACAATGTTGCAGATCTTCCTGAATGATGGAGGTATGTTTACAGAGGAGGCACAAATGTCATCTATAAACACTTTCG